AGTGCTGAACCTCCAGGCTCACCATAGCTGCCTCTGCACTCTTCAATGCTGGTACGGTGAGCTCCATCACAGCAGCATACACGATCACTTTGTACCCGAATGGTAAACATGCCCACACACCCACGGCTTGTGCCATGGAGCACTGTCCAGGGCGTGTCGCTGTATTGCTGTGGGACCCTCCAACCCGTTACGCCCAGCGCAGAAGAGAAGCAAACAGGGTTTGAATCAGGACGCGTTCATGGGCAGGTGCAAAAATCGTGCTGCCTGCTTCTTTTCTGCCTATCTGCACATGCTAGCATGCACTTATCGGCGAACACGTCCGGATTCTACTGCTGAGCCCATTCGCATTCGCTAGGGGGACCGCCATCGGGTGGTGCCGGGCCCGCAGCAAGGCGATCGCTTCAAATTCATGACCGTGCAGGCCCAAATGTGACGGGACAAAAATGAAATGCAAGCAAATAAACACCACCCCAAAAAAAATTCCCCCATCTGCTATCAGCGGTGTGACCACGCAGGTAGCAGATGGAGCAATTTTCAGGAAGTAGCGGCGATGTCTCATTCTAATTTTGCTGCTTTGCAACCCGTGTGTGAGTATGCGGCACACCTGAATCTCAAAATGGCGTTTGCAAAATTGCAGATTTTGCAATTCCGGTCACTCTGTGTGAGTATGCCCTTACACTAGAACACACAACTGTAGACTGACTCTCGAATTTTGGTATTGGTTCAAGAGCACTACAGGACAATGCCAGGCTTGTCCGAGTCCGGCGGGGCCTCCGGTTGACATTGGCAAAAGGAGGCAGGAAGTGGGCGCGGCAAGAGCTCCCCAGAAAACCGAAATGGTGCAGACGGGCAACTCTCGACGTTTTGGGAGTGCCCTTCTAGCGTGTCATATGACAGCTCTCAAAGGGGTTCTCGAGAGTCCATTTCAAGAGTAAATACAGTGATGCTTGACTCTCGAAAATTCTGAGTGTCCAGTGTTATTGCAGCGAGGCCCATTCTCTCAGGAGCTGATCACACTTCAGGAATACTTACTGGATCTATTCATCTGGGTGGAATTGGGACTGTTGTGGGGAAAATCTATAACAAACTTTTACTTTCTGCTTTGCAAGCTCTCATTCCTGAGCTTTACTTTCGTTCAAACTGAAGCTGAGGGAGGAGGGCCTTAACATACACTGGCTTCTGCTGTGAGCGGTTATGGCCGGAGACAGGCAACCCCTGGGACTGCAGTACATTGGAGACTGGGGGTGTACTGAGCCTCCCGTTCTTGTCCAGCCTCTGTATGGCATGGTAGTCTCTTCGGTGGAGGGTGAAGAAGACACTCTCAGAAACCGGCTTCGTCAACGTGCTATGGCCATGCACGGCCAGTTAACACTGGAGAAGACGATGTCACCCCTGCCTCACGTCGCGGCCTTTCATGGCCAGGAACCATCGCCCGTCAGTGACAGTCGTCTTTCCATCCAGGGCGTTCATCCCATGCTGGGATCGCCAACTACCCCAACGCACATGTCCTCTGGTGGCCAGAATGGTGGATCTGCTCACGGATCTTTCAGCCCATCTCTCGGAGAGGGAGATGGATCATCATCAGCCATGGTCACTTCCCAGCGTCAACGCTGCATGACGGACAAGCTTGCACAGAGTCCCAACGACGGAACAGGATGTGAGCAGTATCAGCCATCCGCTGCAGTTGGCTTGTCAGAGCAGACCGGATCTGGCATCTCAGGTCCTGGTCATGACAGGTCACGCTTTGAGGACTGTGGATCTGAAAGCCGTCGATGTGTTCTGATGCAGCTCATCCATGATGTGGAATATGGGGAGGTGGAAGCAATGGAGGGTTCTTTGGGGGAGGGGAGTGTTGTCCCCCCAGCCGGTTGGTGGTGTACGTGGTCTTCCTGTTCCCGATGGACACATCGTGGGCGGCACTCATGAAGGCCCCGCTCGTTCCAGCACTCCCTTCAATGGAACTGAAGGTGCAATGTCACCAGCTGATGTAAACGTGGTCACTGCAGGTGGGACTGCGCACGGAGCGGCCCATTTACACACTGTGTCACATGAACCAAACGCACCTGATTGCTCTCTGACAAATGGGACTCATGTTGCAGTTGCAGCTGAAGATGTGGTCGCCGATACTGCAGGTGGGACATCGCAAGCTGCGAGCTGTTCAGACACTCCACCAAGCAGGGGTGAAAGTGGGGGGACCTCCACAGACTCTCCATTGGCAACTGCTGCACACGGGCGTGGAGCGGGGAGAGGACAAGCTGGCCGTGGAAGTTCGGGAAGGGCCAGGGGCAGACATGGTCGCAACCAAACACCATAGCCCAACGCCTCTCGTCCACAATGGGGGCAGGAGGAGACGATGAAACTGATACGGTGCCGGTATGAAGTGAAGGCTACTCATGGCGACGATTCAGAAGCATGGGGGGTGGCACGCCTGAAGCAGCGGTTCTGGCCTGACATGGAGCGCCTGATGAAGGAGGCAAAGTACGACCAGAATGACCAGGAGTGTAAGAACCGGTGGCACTTCGTCCATAACAACTACAAGGCTGTGAAGGATCATGAAACGTGGTCCGGCGAGCAGAAGTATTTGAGCATGAACCAGGCGGACAGGAAGAGATGGCATCTGGATTTCCTCATGTGTAGAGAGTGGTACGATGTCATTGACCAGAACGAGAAGGACAATGACACGATTTGCATTGATTACATCACAGATCCTGGCGCTGAGACTGAGAATGTGGCCGCGGACAATGGTGGATCGGTGGAAACTGACGGCATAGGAGTAGGCGGTGATGATCGTGCTGATGCTGGTTTGGCGCCCCATCCGCAGAACACCGGTACGGACAGTGCTGGTCCTTCGGATGGTGCAAGGTCCACTGCAGTCCAGGGTGACATGGCCAGCAAGCGTAGAAGGGTTGGTCCTAATGCAAGGGAAGTGGCAATGCGTGCTATTTGTTGAGCAATGCGTGACCACACAGCTGCACAGGTGACATCAGATAAGGAGCATCATGTTATCATGCTTGAAATATGTGATAAACAGATTGCGGCGCAAGAAAGAGTTGTGAAAATGACGTGTGGGCGATGGAGAAGGATACGGCGGCCAAGGATCACAGAGCAGAGAGGATAGCGACCGAAATCCGTGTTGGGTACTCTGTGCTTGCTGATGCAATCAAGAGTATGGCGAACTGCAATGGAACACAATAGGATCCAACTTGCAAAACCAACCGACTGACTTATTCATTCACGACCACCGTCGATATCGCTCCCCTGTTAGGTTGCGACCGAAAGTTTGGCCGTCCACATTCGTCTTTGCCGTCACGCTGTATGTGTGTAGGAGATTGGTCAGTGTAATGTCTGCTTATCACAGTTCTCTTCTTTCGTTGCAGAAGCGAAATGGCCGTTTTTTCCGCCCTAAAGTTGGAGTTATGTTGTTTTGGCCTTTGGATCCTGCAGCGTCGTGCAATGGGCAAATCCTCAGTGCGATGGGGGAGGTGGAGCGGTTTCTTGTTTAAGAAATCATGTTTTCGCAATTTCATTTCCGTAATGCGGTGGATTGAAGTCACTTTTTGGACTATGTGCACCGTCCACGCACCGCATCACACAAGCCACAGACATCACCTTGTCGTTGACCTGTAACATATGATAACTTGTAGATGCTGAAAACATGAACAGTCAGTTTTTGTTGTAGTTTTTTTTTTCGATTATGACTTATTGTCATTGCGGCAGCTGTCATGATGGCCAGTACATTGGGATTTTTTTTTTTTTTTTTTTTTTTTTTTTTTTTTTTTTTTTTTCGGCGGAATATGTTTGACAATGGACGTCACCATTCTTGTTTTGCTGTAACATATGACGATTGTAGGTGCGAAGCAAAAATAATAAATAATAAAACATCGTTATTTAGTTTTTCCAATTTTTGGATTATTTTTCGTAGTCATTGGTTTATTTTTTATTTTTTTATTTTCGATGCGGCGGCTATCACGACTCACGAGGGATGGCCTGAACTATTATGGCATGAACTTTTTATCCCCAGTTTTCAGGGAAACACAGAAAAGGAGCATTGTTTTTTTTTTTTCTTCTTATTTTCTTCCCACCTACCTTGTCGTTGATATATGGCACACTCGATACACAAATGGTGTGGGATGATAGTGCTCGCTTCGTCTGTCATCCCAAACCAGCTTTCGCGGATGAGGAGAATGAAAAGATCGGTACTGGAATAAGAAACTTTGATTTTGTTATCTTTCCATGCACAGATGGTGTGGGATGATAGTGCTCGCTTCGTCTATCTTCCCAAACCAACTTTCGCCGATGAGGAGAATGAAAAGATCGGTACTGGAATAAGAAACATTCATTGTTTTATCTTTTCGTACACAGATGGTGTGGGATGATAGTGCTCGCTTCTTCTATCTTCCCAAACCAGCTTTCGCCGATGAGGAGATGCTATTGGAATAGGAAACTTTCATTTTGTTATCTTTCCGTACACAGATGGTGTAACATGATAGTGCTCGCTTCTTCTGACTTCCTGAACCAACTTTCGCCGATGAGGAGAATGAAAAAATCGGTACGGGAATAAGAAACTTTCATTTTGTTATCTTTCCGTACACAGATGGTGTGGGGATGATAGTGCTCGCTTCTTCTGTCTTCCCAAACCAGCTTTCGCCGATGAGGAGATGGTATTGGAATAGGAAACTTTCATTTTGTTATCTTTCCGTACACAGATGGTGTGAGATGATAGTGCTCGCTTGTTCTGTCTTCCCGAACCAGCTTTCGCCGATGAGGAGAATGAAAAGATCGGTACTGGAATAAGCAACTTTCATTTTGTTATCTTTCCGTACACAGATGGTGTGGGATGATAGTGCTCGCTTCTTTTGTCTTCCCAAACCAGCTTTCGCCAATGAGGAGATGTTATTGGAATAGGAAACTTTCATTTTGTTATCTTTCCGTACACAGATGGTGTGAGATGATAGTGCTCGCTTCTTTTGTCTTCCCGATCCGGCTTTCGCCGACGAGGAGAATGAAAAGATCGGTACTGGAATAAGAAACTTTCATTTTGTTATCTTTCCGTACACAGATGATGTGGGATGATAGTGCTCGCTTCTTCTGTCTTCCCAAACCAGCTTTCGCCGATGAGGAGATGGTATTGGAATAGGAAACTTTCATTTTGTTATTTTTCCGTACACAAATGGTGTGAGATGATAGTGCTCGCTTCTTCTGTCTTCCCGAACCAGCTTTCGCCGATGAGGAGAATGAAAAGATTGGTACTAGAATAAGAAACTTTCATTTTGTTATCTTCCCCCCCCCTCCCCCCCCCCTTTAAACTTTTGTCATTCCTATTGTTGCCATCACCGTAGTGTATGGGCCAGTCACCCATCGGCCTAACTGGTTATCAAACTTATCATCAGTATTTTAGCGGACTGTGCACTCTTCCTTCTTCCCTCCAACGAAAATTTTATTTTTCCCATCATTTGGTGTTTGAGCTTTTTGTCCTATGTAAAGGTGTTGTATGGCCTCGTTGATACCCATTGCGAAGGTAGTGTATGGGGGAAGGACAACACCTTCGTGTGTGTGTGTGTGTGTGTGTGTGTGTGTGTGTGTGTGTGTGCTTTTTCTTTCCTCTTCATTCCGCTGAAAAGGTCTGTGTAACCAGATAAGGGTTTGCTATTAACGTTTTTTGTTTTTTCCCATCGTTCCGACGTCAGCTTTTGTATGTCCGCTTCATTCTACAGTAAAGATGTTGTACGGTCGTTAATATCATAGGCTTTTTTTATATTTTTGTTCCCTCGATTGGAATTATGGTTTTTTTGTGCATTGTGTGTATACTCTTCGACCTTTATTTTTTCTTTCCATCGTCTTTCAGAAGTGTTGCTCGACGTCCACACTTCCCTTCATCACCACAATCATCATCAATATCAACATTATCGTCTGGGTCGTCGTAATATGGAATATGATGATGATGATGATGGTGATTACGATGGCGGTGATGTTGTTGTTGTTGTTGATGATGATGATGATGATGATGAACATGAACACAACCCCGCATGAGGCCCCATTTTTCCACCACTCACATACACAATGCCGGAAAACTCAAGGCATCATTATCCGGAGTTGGAATGTTAAAGGTTTGGGAAATATTACCACAAAGGAAGACAAACTAAACGACATAATTAGAGGTCCGAGGGACTACTCAGGTAAACTAGCAAACATAATCCTTTTGCAGGAAACACACTTAACTAATTCAGAGGATCACCAAAAAATCAGGAAATTCTTCACAAGAAAACTAGGAGGGATTAAAGACGAAATTTGGGCCTCAAACAACAACTCAAGCACGCAAGACACGGCTATCCTAATACCCAAGTCCTCACACTTCCACACAACGGGCATAGTACAAGGGATGGATGCTGACAATGAAACAGGGAGATGGTGCATGATGGATCTTAAGTGGAAAGAAGAGGAACTCATAATCATCAACGTGCACACACCCAATAACCCAATAGATAGATTAGAATATGTGTCCATGGTGGGAGGTCTGGTAACATCTCTCTCACCTTACATCATAGCAGAAGATTGGAATGCAGCCCTAGACCCGGCCAACGATAGAATCTCTCACGCAACAATGGCTCAAGCTTCTCAAGAAGCAGCTCCAGTTCTCAAGTTGATGATGGATCACAACCTTGCGGATCCTTTCAGAAGACTACACCCAGGAAGAAAAGCATTCTCGCGGGTAAAGAAAAAACACGCTCACCACATGACTTTCTCTCGCATTGACTACTTCCTTGTCTCAGAGTCTCTAATGGGAACCATTAAGGAGGTTGACATTCTGGCCCTTGCCTCCTCGTTCGGATTGGATCACAAACTGGTCGAGTTAATTCTCAGCTATGAACAACACATTACGAGAGGAGCCAACTTCCACAAGTTGAACAACTCCCTCCTTCTCAGTGAGGTCTTCCATGATAGTGTACACGAATGCTGGCAAAACACGTTTATCCCGAAAACTGGCCAATGATTGAAGAGAGAAAACAAGATCTAGAGATTTCACTGAAGATTGCAGAAAGCGACTTGCTAATCGACCGTTCCTCATTCTTGTATTCAATGACTTTTGAGTGAGCTAGGGAAGAACTAGTGATATGGAGACAATGGGAATTGAAAGGTCTAGAACTCAGAGCAAGAATGATGGAGTACAAGTTAAACGAATCAATGACTAAACTTTTTTTTCTCAAGAATAAAAGCTAACAGCAGAGCGAGCTCAATAGAAGGGCTGAAAGAATTGTCAGGCGAACAAGCCACAAGGACGGACAGTGAAGGGATGTCGGGAATAGCTAGGGGTTTCTATCAAGAGCTGTACTAGATGAAAACTGCCTATCCCGCCTCTACAACCACAAGAGAACCGAAAACCAAAATGCTACAATACCTAGACAAGACAATCTCAGTGGAACAGACAGTAACACTAGACAAACCTATTACCCTAGAGGAACTAACATTCGCTGTCCAAAGCATGAAAAATGACAAATCCCCAGGGATCGATGGTCTTACCAAGGAATTATGGGAAACGTTCTAGCCCGTGATGGGCAATGATCTTCTTCATTTCTACAAAGATAGTTGGGAAGAAGGAGGGATGGGAGAATTGTTGAGTAGCAACGTTGTGACCCTACAAGAAGGAGGATCCAGAGGACATTCGTAGTTATAGGCCAATCTCCCTACTTACCCTGCCCTACAAAATTATGGCGAAAGCGTTAACGTTCAGAATACTAGACCTCACATATAAATGTTTCCACATAGATCAAGCTGGTTTTATCCTAGGTAGATCATACATGTGGCACATCACGTGCGCGCAAGTTCCGCACATGCGCCACATAGCGCATGCGCACACGTACGCGCGCACGTGATGCGGCGCATTTACAAAATAATAATTGAAAAAAA